AAAAATAGGCTGACACACGTAATTACGACGCTAACAAACGCATGATGCTCACCGTTGCCTGGAGTTAGTCAGACTTTTTTTTCTCAGGTATTGTTTAATTAGATCTGTTTAATTGACTAGCTTTTGAAAAAACTAGGATGGATAAAAAATTCAATGGGGAAGTTGTAGATCGGTTTGCAAAGCATCCTATTAGACAGTTTTGAATTTTATATCTGTTAAGTATTAGTGCTTTTCTGCTAATTGCAAATATCCTCGAAATACAAAAAAATACCACGTGACAAACCCGCTCGCGCGCCAATGCGCACGATGATTCTACTGCTCCCCAACAGACAGACAGACAGACAGACAGACAGACAGACACAGACAGCACTCATCATTATTCCCTCCGTAGATATGCTGTGATTTTTATGCAGCTTTCAGTGACTAAACCACGATATGATTACTGGAAGGCTCCGGATGTTTGGACCATTTAGTCTCCCCTAACGTGCGCTTACATCGCACAACACACGGGCCTCTGGCATTTCGCCTTTACCCAAATTCGACTGCCGCGGCTGGGAGCAAACCCGCAACCTCCGTATGAGAAACCGAGTAACCATTCAATATTGTGTATGAACGGACAGAAAACTACAGGCGTGCCAGCTGGTCCAGTTTATATAATGTGCACATCGGGTCTTTTAACTGTCAGAGAGAACATTAGAGAAAAAATCGCTCATGACGGGTAGTGCACAGAGAAATGGATCTTTTTTCAGGAGACCATCTGCGCATGCGCAATGGCGGTGACGTCACTCGCACCATGCGTTTTGGTAGTCCCATGGTTGGCGACATTTGCAAACTATCACGAGAAATACCTGGCACCCGAGGTTTCCTACTGGCCACTGAGCACCATGCAGTTTCGATTTCGGCTATAGAATAGCTGTTCGAACTTGAAAAAAAAAAGGCCCATTGAAGTATAGCCGTCTCAGAATATTACGGCCTCAGCCCGCCCTAAGAAAAAAATTATTTCGCAAATCCTGCAGGTCATTCACACGAAAGGTGCTGCGCTATTTCCGAGGAAAGTCGGAAACCGTGCCCTTTTTTTATGTCCCGTACAAACTACAAGCTCAATCACTGTCCCCTTTTGCGAGGGGAATTACCTGTTGGCGCGACGATGCTACGTTACAGAATCTCCACGACAGCAAAGGGCGCGGAGCGGGGATGACGTCATACATATTTCGGAGAACTCCGTTACGTATACAGCACCTCTTATTGAACTGAGGCTAGGTTGTCCATTCACCCGCCATTGCATCATATCGCGTGATTATAACCCCACATTCTGGTCATGACGTCATGGGATACGGTTGCTTTGACGGGCAGTCACTGAATTTCTTCTTTATAAGAAACAATCAACCTCTTAAAATACTTGATTGATTATCTCTGTTATATATAAAATGTGCGAGAACAAGCTGAACGAGTTATAACAGTAACCTGATTAGCTACATAGTATTATTATTGTTCTCATTTTTGTTGATGCTTCCTTATATTACTTTTTTTTGGCAGTGTTGAATCAATTTTGCGTGATTAATTGAAATACTACTACTTTTTCGCGATTCCTTGCATGTTTAGAGTTATTTTACTCTGCCCCTCAGCAATCTTTTGATTTATGGACTAAACCGCTGAGGTTCTTCAGCCTCACAGTGTCGGAAACTATCCTGTAATCAGTATTAAATACAGCTACGATCTGCGTTCTTCGGCGACGCAAAGTTTGTGTTGTGCCAGCTGATGTATGTATATCTTCAGATGTTTGATTTTGAATACCATTAAATTCATTGTATCCAGGGATCTTACATCGACGACCGTTTCTTTCGTCTTTAGCTTTTAAGTTTCAGTGCACCGCTGGAATAGTGTTATCTCAGAACCACGAATAAAGTTTCGTGTGTAATCGCGACGCTCTGATATATATCGAGTCACGTCCACCGCTTTCGAGCCACCAACTTCTGATCTGCAGCTAGCGGGCTTCCGCGGATCGTTAATTTCACTTATTCATTATATTATTTTCTCTAATATGGCTTGTAAGCTTTCAGTCATACAGCAACAACATTTTCCATAAGCCCACTGATTTTAATTGAAACACACCGAGGGCATCGGATAAGCGTTGAATTATCAACCTTGCAATGCTCTCGATTTTTTTCGTAATGCTCTAGCTGCTAAGTTCTACGAGGAACTGCAGGAAAATGATCAGGTGAACAATCTGATCATAAAGCTCCGGGAAAAAAAAAGTTTCTAGCTTTGTATTTCGTAAACTGCCGCAGACTTTTTTTTTACCACAGTCGCACAATATGTGAAAGTTTTGGAGAAACTGCTTATTCACTATTGCAGATTTCGACCCGTGAACAACTCATAACTACAGCGTCGGAACTGCGGACGAGGCATTCACTGACGAGGCCTTACGATTCACGTCAGTTTCGGTTTCGGAGAAGGCGGTGAACTCACCTGAACCCGTGACTAATTTTGGCCGCGAGAACTCTAGCGCATCGACCGCCGTCACACCGTTCGGATCGATGGCTGAGGAAAAGTAAGCGAACCCAAAAGAGGTGGTTAGAGCGTTTCTCTCTGGCCACATTGGCAGAAACAAACACTTTCCGATGAAAATACACGGGGAAACGCCAGCAAAGACTTCCGCTCCCTTCCCGTTTCACTCGCTCAGCGACTTTCGCACGCCTTGCAGTTCCCAGTCGTGATAAGACTCTCAGTCGAAGAGAGAATCAACAACACTTTCCGGCCAAGCAACGCCGCTTTTCGTTTTAATGATGCCCGCTTTGAACAATACGAGTGGAACGCGGACTGCACGCAAACTGGCTGAGTCGCGTTTTTTTTTTTTTTTTTTTTTTTTACTCTACCATACGCAGCGGGGTACGGCCAACCAATGCAGCAGAAAGGGAAAAAAAAAAACCTGCGGCTAGAATACACGCAACGGAAACACACCATTCCCAGCCAGTAGGGTACAGACAACACAACGAGCAGGAAAAAAAAGTAGAGTGGCGAGGTCATCCATCCATGTACTTGCGAGAGCAGTTCAAACTTCCGGTTGCCTCCACTTTTTTAAAAAAAACAAGGCACGTGACACTAACGCCGTGCTGCCATTGGTCGGAGCGTCGCTGGCATTGTTCCCATTGGCTGGGTCGGTCCAGGCTGCTGTGTGGCGAAACTACCGGTTTCCTCTCCCTAGTCGCCGCCGCCGCGCCAAGCCTCCTTTGCCGCCGCCCGCTTCGAGTGGGTAGCTCTTGAGTCAGATATGCTCCTTACTAGAAGCTTTGCGTCTTATTTCCTGAGTACCAGGCTGAGGTTGTTCTCGCCTGGGGCATTTTCGAATTCCGTGCCTCGGGCGGGAACGCCTTCTGCCTTCTATGCAGGGGCCGCTTCTACTTTGGCCCGTCTCCAAGAGGTCGACCCCGAGATAGATTTAGATTCAATCGAACTCCGCGAGTTAGTCGATAGACTCGCTCCGGAGTTACCCGAATGCTACAGAGAACACGACCTGTCCGAATACAGTCCTAACTGGCGGTTAATTACTGCCAGTTTCCTGGACGCCAAGCGCGCTACATTCATGTATCGCCTGGCCAGAGATCGCCTGCCTCTAAGCTTCAGGCCTTTCACAAGAATTGCTCAACGAGGAGTGTGCCCTTTTTGTGGCACTAAGGAGGACCTGGTTCACGTGTTCTCTCAGTGCGCACTACCAGCTGCCCTCCATCGAAGGATAGCTAGCTTGTTTGGCCACCCAGGTGTTCCTTTCAACACCGTTCGTTTTCTTCAACCCCTGTCGCGACAAGCGGCTAAGCAATACGTGCTTCTGCTTGTTGAGTGCTCGTACCAAGTGTGGGTTGCACGGTGCTGTGCCGTCTTTGATGGCAAGCGACCCGGGCTTCTCGAAGTGCTTGCAAAAGTACGGAAGGAGGTCTGGTTCGTTCTCCACCGAGAGTGGCAGCGCCTTGGTGCAAAGAAGTTCTACGAGACGTGGCACCGTCCGGCAGTGATTTTCAGTGAGGCAGGAGGGCAGATAACCATCAACTTTTAATGATGGCTTTCTCTAAGGCTCCACGACTAGGCCTAGTGAGCCAGTCGCCCCCGAGTTTGGTCTGTATGGTCTTTCACCCGAGTTTTGCATGTACTAAGGTGATCCTGTCACCTTGTCGGGCTTTACCCGCAAGGTCCGTGTTGGCCCCTTCTGTAGGCTCGGCTACTTTACTCGTCGAGGCGGAAGGTGGTTCCCTTCTTCGAGAAGGACTAAGCCGGCTTTCAGCCGTGCCGGTTTCCGTGGGTACGTTTGGTTTGTGTGCAGCAGCACTGGCCTCTGCACCAAATAGTAGTCCCGTAGACCCCACAGGACGGATTGTGTCTCACTGCGCCCTTGTGGTGAGGAGACGGGCCATGACCGCAAAACGCCTCGCGCTGAGCGATAGCCCATCCGCACTGTGGGGGTGTTGTCGCAGGGTCTCAGCCGCGCGACAGTGTGAGGGCACGGGCACTTTGGTTGTGGTGACTGAAGTTACCGCGACCGAAGGCAGCACCGCTGCCACTTTTTTGGGTACGTCCGCTTTGCGTGTGGTAGCGAGAGCTACCGTGCCGAAGGGTAGCCCCTATGTCAAGTCTCGCTGGGCCCTAGTGGTCAGGAGACGGGCCATGACCGCAGCGCGCCCCATGCGCCGCGATAGCCCACCCTGCCAGGGTACGTTCACTTTGCGCGTTGCGACTGAAGTTGCTCCGCCGGAGAGTAGTCCCTTTGTCGGGCCTCCCTGGCTTGTATGCCGGGAGGCAGGCCGCGTCTGTTGGGCGCCTGGCGCCGAACGGTGGCCCCCTTGCCAGGGCATGGCCGTCTGCCCGAAACAAATCTTCCCCCCACACAGCCCTGGGGGGAGGGAGAGCCGGGACAGACGTAGGATGATGATGGGTTGATGAGTTAAGTGTGACTCTGGGACAAAGCGTTTCGGCGCCGCGTCTCCTTCCTATCTGACAACGGCTCCCCCACCGTTCGGGGGCTTGACGGTGGACGAATATGCTGTGCCTCATTTCGCGGACGCCGCAGCATACGGCCGATGGCGGTGATCTCCGTCCTCTGACCGAGTGGTGAACAAGGGATACCGTGCCTGTGACTAGAGAAGCGAGGCATCGCCGAGGATTTTGTTGCAACGTGCCAAGCTCGTCTGCATACGGATAACCCACGAGGTAAGGGACCCGTGAGCTTGGCCCAGTTCTTCAACGCTAGGCCTAAGGAAGTTGGTCTCTTCTGATATCGCGTATCCCGGTTCCCCGTGCGTCGTCTGTCTTGTCCTCTTGTTTTTACTTCAAGATTTGCGTAGCCTGTTTCTTCGAGACGCGACAGCCGTGCCTTTCGTCAGAGAGGCCTACGAACCCGGCAGTGAGGTTATGGACATCGCCGCTGAGCTAGTGATTGACCTGTGCAGTGTCATCATGCCTTAACGACATTTCTCCGTTCGACGTGTACACCACCCTTCTTTCTTCTTGTGTCGCGTTGTGCAATGCGTCTTCACGGTCACGTTTCGCGCGAAATTCCCCACGATTTTGCTTCAGCCCCCGTGGAAATCACTTTTCTTTTTCCGGTGAAACTATCGCCTGTTAGTTTTATCGATAGCTGTCGAAAGGATTTGCGTAATCTCAATCTACCCCTTGCCCACGCCATCCTGGATTTGTGTGACGTAGTGATCCCCCTCCCCTCCTTTTTCGTTCCAACGTGGTTCCTATTTTTTGACCCCCCCCCCCCCCCCTCCTGGTCTCCGCGATCGATTGCACCTGCGGTCTGTCCCAGACTGCCTGACGCTTCTTGCTGATCGAATTGCCTTCATTTTTCTTTCTTGTTCTGCCAAGACGCCAGAGTTTGTGCGTAAGGTGTCGCATGAGCTAGTGAAAGTGGCGTAGTGTCAGTGCATTTACTCCCACACCATGTTTCAAACCTTCCGCCTGTGCGTCTCACCAAATACAGCATATACGAGTGTTTGTCGTTTCCGAAAATTGTCTGGAGCAAATACAATCTAGGCCGTTATTTTTGGGTATTTGCTTTCTTATATTAAGAAGTTCAACTAAGTTGCTTTTTGAAGCAAGTTGGTACCAGGCTACACACAAATATAGCCCCTAAAACGTTGAAATGTGAATCACTGAAATTCAGAAAGCGGTGAAAGGGACAAAGGTGGCCTTCTTATACGCCTGTATCCGCTGAAGCATCAACCTACAACCGGTATTTTTGTTGACTTCAGAACTTCCAGTCGTCTCATTAATGGAATATCGGCTCATGCCGATTTCAGTTTTTTTTTTATTTATTTTGTGTAGCTGTACGTAAGTGCAGTCATCCCGAAGTGCCACTTTAAACGGCCTAATGTCTCACGTTTGCTTGCAACTACGTAAAGATGATCGCAATTGCTTTGGAGATCGCTGGGCGTACGGAGAGATAAAACTAGTCTAATGATAAATGGAGACCCGCCTCTTTTCTACAGGTTCAATCGACTTGGCTCTCTTTAGAATGCTTCAATTTAGGATATATAGTATGACATTTCTTTTCAATTCTTTACGTTCGCCCACAAGGCCGATACGTGATTAACGAGTCTTTGCACCAAACTACGATGTGATGTTCCATCAACTTTTGCGATATTTGCTGGACTCGTGGCGTAATGACACACCAAAGATCCTTGCCGACGATATTGGGTCTTGGGTGATGCGTCTCTATGCACTTCCCGTATCTAGACAGATACGGAAACATATCTTCCCGGAAATATCAGTGAACAGATAACAAGTACGAACTTCTGGGCAACCTCAACTTTTCTCATATTTGTTATACTAGATGGTTTGACGACGTCTCACAAGGGCCTGCCGGTACTATCAGGCCTTCGGCGATACTTCGCTATCATGGCGCGGCGCTAGCTATCTTCTATTCCCGGAAATGTCAGTGAACGGATAACAAGTGGCGCCCCCCATAAAAATGTTTGCTATGCGACCACTGGGGGAGTACCGCATTATCTATCTGTGTAACGCGGTAACCTTGCCCGCCATCAGTTCTTCAGCGCCATCCACGCTACAGGGCCTGCTTTCTGACACGCACGACAGAGAGCGCAAGCGTCTGTTAAGCTGCCTATTGCCGGTACAAAAACTATGACCGCATTTGGAAGTGAAGTTTGATTTAAGGCATGCACGTTTTTTTTTTTTTAATTGGTTCTTCGAACATGGGACTCCCCTGAGGCACAGAAGCGTCGGCCAAAGGAACGCGCGTGCCGAGGGATCGATTCTGCAGTCGGCGGCGCGAAAATTGCGCAAGAGAGGTCCGGTTCATCTTTGTGTCTATCGCATCCGTTACTGCACTTCATTATTTCATTTCTATTTTTCGTTCCGCTCTTCCCGTCTCTCCCCGGTTCTCTTTGGCGCGCGCGCGTGTGTGTGTGACTAATCCGGATGGACGACGTCCTGCTGTGCCGGTTACGTCTCCCCTAGGGAACCCACGCCAAGACTTCCTGCTGGTCTTGCTTGCTCACATGGCACGGCATAGGTGGGACCTCTGCTATACGGCTGCCGTGCCAGGCCGGCCAGCCGACTCCGGGGAAATACCCCCTCCGTCATGTTCTCGTGGTGTTCTTTTCATCTCTCGTAAAAATCGTGCAGAGTGCTGTAGAAGCTAAGGAGTTTTGAAGACGATAACTGATAATAATTGTAAGTTACAAATGGAGTAAACAAATGTGTAAATGAGTAGTCTGCGCTCTGCACACCTGACCAAAGTATGTCGAGGTGGAAGTGCTTTCAAGGAGCACACGCTAAATGACAAAAAAAAAAAACGCCTGCTGTACCTTTCATCAAAATGATGTAGTACGTATCACCTCTGTGTTGTGTCCTACCCAGATTGGCTACAAGTTATTCATCCTCTGAAACGGCCCAGGTATTTTTTTTTTTCTCGCGCCCTTCAATTTCACGAAGCCGTACGTACATCCCTGTAGTCGGTTCGCTACCCTTCTCGCACCACGCTGCGCACATTTAACGAGAGCGATGGCTGTTATATGTCGGTAACACATTTTTTGTGTTGGTGATGGCGGTAAAAAAAAAAAGGTAACGACATGTTTCAGAATTTTCTTGTCTTGTAGCCGTTGTTTTGGTTTCCGTGTCATCCACTCGCGACTGCTGTAGCAAAGCGCGCATTTTCAAATAAGTAAAAAAAAAAACTGTACGGTTCCGTTCTCAAGATCACCATCTCCACGCTCGGTGGGCTAGCTGCTTTCCTCACCCTTTGGGTATTTCCCTCGCGCTTAGCGAAAGGGCGTCCTTTTTCTTTTTTTTTTTTCCTACATGCCAACTGTTGGCGGCAGCGTAATCATCGCCACGTATGCCGCGGCTTTATCTCTTACGAAGTATTTGTTTTTTTTTTTCTTTTTTAAGCTCTTCGTCGCTGCATCGACACACTCGGGCGCGTGTTGGGTCACATCATCCGGTGGGCGTTGGAGTAACACCAAATTCTTGGCGATTTTAAAAAGCGAGGCTTGTTTGTGCGCTCCGTCGGCCTCGTTGGCATGGTCGGTCGCGCTAAGATGTCACGTGAGCAGCGTTGTGAGGAGGGCGTAATGTGAGACGGAAAATGATTGCGCTGAAAAAGGTAACTAGGGTGGAGAGGATGGAGCACTGGTAAGGTGGGTTACCAACGTAGCTAGATTCTTCTGGTGGTTGTGCTGTGAAGCCTAGGGAAGGCGGTACCTCTTGAACTTGGGTACCCTCTTGCAGTGGTTCCACTCCTGTGCCAAATTAGATTTACTACGCCGTCCTGATAACATCAACGCGAATTGCGCCCAAGTCGGGATTTGGGAGCGTCTATCGCTGGCGATGAGCCACGCCGGCGCGTCGAAACGTGTGTACCTTGTTTTCTCGAGGCCGCTAAAGTCACAATCGCGTACTTAGAACCATTCCGCTGAATAAACACCGGGCGCGCGTGCGCCCTCTGTTGTTCACTGTTTGCAGCATGTTCCTGGTCGCCGCAGATCGAAAAGTTCTGGTTAAGTTTCCCGCGTTCACTTTCCGTGATTAGACACTCGGAACGGTGAGCATTCGATCCGTCGCGCTGAAGAAAATAAGTACCGTAAAAAAAAATTGGCTGTCAATAACTTTTATGATTGAAAGCAACGTGACAGTGGTCTATCGGATTAAGCGATAGCGCCGCTTTGTGGGCCAACTATCGTAACCGCGATTTTTGGGGACCTCGTATTTCAGCGGAGTAATAGACAGGCGCCTTCTCGAATTGAGAGATAGCTAGCAAATTGTTGATCAGACTGGAAGGCAGAATAACGAGAAGGAAACATTTCGTCACTTCTTTTTTCGGTAGGTCGACTTTGTCAACCTTGACCGCGTATTCGCGTAGGCGGAATGTTTTTGAAGCGAGTTCTGTTGACAAGACGGGGGGGCTTCTTCCGTGTGTGTACAGGTCTTGATTCTTTCTCGCGCGGCCATCGTAATTTCCTGCCTCTCTCTCTCTCTCGGCTACGAAAAGTGTGTGCGTCGTTCTTTCGAAGCGCTATTTGTTCGTGTGGCGTTCCGTTAACTCGGTCGTTGTCCGTTCTGAATGCCCGTTTATTTTTATCTGCGACGTCCGATAGGGAACTATAGCGGGAAGCGTTCGTTATAGGAGATACACCGTTGTGGCGGGAGCTATTCGTACCATCTTGTATTAATAATAATTAATTGTTGGGGTTTTTATGTCCTCAAGATTTTTTGCCGCCTGAAAGTTGACCCTCGCGTCTCTATTGACGATCATGGTCGTATTGGGTAAGTACGCTATGGGGACGCCGTAGTGGAGGGGCTACAGAAATTTCGACCTTGTGGGTTTAACCTGCGCCCAAATCTAAGCGCACGGCCCTCCAGCATTCTGCCTCCGTCCAAGTACTGCATGCCACTGCGGCCGGTATTCGATCCCGCGACCTTCACCGTGATTCGGGTCAAGTGCCACCTGGTGTTATTTGCGCCACCATCTGCGGCCGCGGCCATATGTCATCTACCTCCACTACCGTTCGATTGCTGCCGCGTTTTTTTTACCGTTGACGCAAGTTCGGCTGGGGCGGCCACAACGCAGTCGTTGGCCTTGACGCCGGAAAAAGGGGGGGGGGGGGTGTAAAAGAGAGAGGGGGATAGATATTTTCGACGGCAGCTGCTGCGGCGCTGGTGGGATTACGCGATCCCGTCGCTATGTTGACGTCTGGGGTATTCCGGCTGCCGCGCTGTTGTACCCTATCGAAAATGGCGCGCCACAAATGGATGAGGCGCCACCGTGTCCACCCCTCCTCCTTCTCCATTCCTGCTTATTCCGATCGTGGCCTCCTGTTATTTCTATCGGATACGGTGCCCAGCTGTTCCGCAATGCATCGGATCCCGGCCCCGTAGGGTTTCCCCCGAAGTGGTTCCGTCGAACCATCGACGTTGCCATATTGCTGACAACATTCGCGGGGCTTCGCCGGATGCCGCCTGTTTTTTATCGTCACCCCTTAAAGGGGGCGCTAAGGACAAGGAAACAGGCAAAGGGGATGAGGTTCGAAGCTTTCTCCCCTCATATATATATATATATATATCTCGATAATGACGTTTCTAAAGCAGTGACAAACATCAGGGGAAAGCTCAGGTACGCTTCCCGAATTCCTCTGACAAAGAAGTGGCGAGGGGGCACACTTCAAACCCCTCTCCCGTCACTCCGTTATCAAAATTGGGGGTTAACCCAGTCTGTATGGAATGGCCGGCCCGATTCTGCACTGGAGGGGTGGCGTTGTTCATAAAGTGTCACAATGCGCCCCTGTCTGTGCATGCCTCTTTCTTCGAGGGGGGGGGGGGGGGTTGATTTCGGAATGTCGTTATTTTGGCATGATGTGTGAGGGCGCTACAAGAACATGCACTCTTCTGCCCCCCTGTGGTTGGTTTCGTTTGAGAGGGAATGAAAGGATAAACTGTTCATTTATGACAGCAGTTGTTGGAGGCACACCCCTCTAGGAGGCGACATTCTAGCAAAGTTTCATGTCGACCTTGTGTCGCACTGTTCGTGTCTGTCAGAAGGTTATTGTTGACTGTGCTGAAGATGAGACCATATTGGCAAGAGAGGTATGTCAAGTGAGCTTTCAGTTTTTTTTTTTTTATTAATCTTTAAAATTTTGCGGCGGCTGCATTTCCGATGGAGGCGGAAATGTTGTAGGCCCGTGTACTCAGATTTGGGTGCACGTTAAAGAACCCCAGGTGGTCGAAATTTCTGGAGCCCTCCACTACGGCGTCTCTCATAATCATCAGTGGTTTTGGGACGTTAAACCCCACATATCAATCAATCAATCTTTAAAATTTTTACGTACTGCAGCCATAGTGGACACTGTTCCTCGAACAAAAATACTGTGATGTCAGTTCATGGAAAAGAACAATAGTTTCATGGAACTGTGTGAAGATCTCTTGGCAAGTAATTGTGGTGTCCTCTTTTTTTTTAACAAACAGAAGTCTTCATTTGAAGACTTGGCAGCTTAAAAAAGTGTTATGGTCAACAGACATTAAAAAAATAAAGATGGGAGGAGGGGGAGAGTATTAATAGAATTTTGGAATGTCTGCTGAATGTTTTTAACTTGTCTGCTTCATTGCAAGCATTTTTTCTTTTATGAAGGCTTGTCGTAAAGTAATCTTTTGTCCAGTTGCCAGAATCGACTAATTTAATTGAACCGTTGTTGCTGAGACTACTAGCTATGTCATTTTATCTAGTTAATTCAGATTCTACATTGTAGTGCCTTCCGATTACTGATATGGGTCTTTATTGAAGTTAAATAAGAATAAGTCGCCCCCTTTTGTTCGTACTTGAACACCCAGCTGTAGGCACGGATCAAACGGGACAGTTCCTTTGTTACCTTTATATGTCACACAAGTTATTACGGGGAGGTTGTACTTCTGCGACATCTTAAAACTGCTGACAGGACCTTGCAAGTTTAGAAAAGTCGCTTATTTGTTCTTGCATGCACATACAACCATTGTCGCAAGGTAGTGTGGACAACATTGATGGAAAAGAATGCAGTGCCGAATGCAAAGGTTGTAGGCAAACAATGCAAGACAATTATGCTAGGCAATCTCTAAGGGAGGGGGGGGGGGGGGGGGGCTGCAGAAGTGTGTAGTGCGTGGTTACACACCTAGTGTGCCCATTGTAACCCATTCCAGCCAAATAGGATTGGCTTCCTAAGCCAAGCTCCTATAACTTGTAGATACCAGCAGTGTCGTATCAGTTTGTGAAAACCCAAGTGATGGCGAGCCTAAGGAAATGCTGCCCTCAAGGGTGTGCCAGTCAAGTATGTATTCATATGCGCAGTTTTTCCAATAATTCAAAATCAGCTGCTTGCGAGATCTTTTATCGGCGTCGCTTGTCAGTTTCACATCCCTGCGATCTCATTGTTGCCGAGATATGGATGCATTGCCAGCGTCGTTGCCTGTGGTAATTGAGGTGTTGAGGCTACAATGGGCGTGGATGAAGGTCCAAGTCCCAGCATAGAGGAAGGAAAAAGTGAGAAGGGAGCATTGTGCAAAGTAGTAAGTCTGGCATGCAGACGCTAAGTTTTGCCTGCCCCATTTTTCCTTATAGGACAAGAGCTCCTGAATTTTTGGTATTTAATAATACAAGCTTGCGCAAACTAATGATTATCGTTGTCATAAGTTCGACACACGGGGCAGCATATGGGCTCTTGGCACACAGTGTTCACAATAATAAGCACCACCATACAAGGCACTGCATCAGCACTTGTAGAAGTTTTGAGATTTGGTTTATTTCACCATAACCTATACATAATAATGTTTACAATTATAACAAAGGTAGAATAGGAAAAAGGAAATGTATTATTCATGGTGAGGATAGCAGGGTAAAAACTGGAATATCAGCAGCTTGACAAGCCACGCCACCACGACACAATGGCAGCAATGTGTTGTATCGAGAATGGTTTAATTGAGGCAAGCATTTGAATTCACACTGCATAAATCAAGACAAACATTCAAGAAGCATTTTTCATAGAAGTAAAAACATTTGAAGAAACCATACTTAAAATAGAATTTTTAGGCATTACATGTAGAGTATCGCTTGTTAATTTCAACTTATTTAGTACAGTGGGTAGGCAAAATTGTAGTAGCTGTGACTTATAGTTTGTACGAGGCCATGGAGCGTACCAGTTGACAATGTGTCTCGTTTAACGTGTAGATGGATTTTCAGTTAAGTTTGCAAATGTATATATGTGGCGGCTCTTAGATTAGTTTCTGAATGTTAAGAGACAGTATTTGTAGAGAAGTTCTCATCCTAATGTGATACATTTTGCCATGGCTTTCACTGTAGCCTCTCAAATGTTTGCCTGCTTGCAATCCTGGCATTCAAAATGGGAGCAGGGTCGGAAGTATCGGTGCACTATCTTCAATCTGGACGGGTCTTCTCTTCGTGACCTCTCTCGCCTCGCGGCCTTCTATACCTACCCCCTACTCGCCGGGCACTACTTTTATCGGTGTATTTTTGTGTATGTGCGTGATGTTTACGTGGCCATTTCTCTTTTTCGATTCGCTTCTTTTGCCACTTGGAATGCGCAAAAAAAAGGAACAGCCACACAGGCCCCTTTCGCAAAGTGTCTGCTTCCCCTCTTTAGCTACTTGAACCTGGTGCCAGTTTGATCTAGAGCAACAGCTGGCCGGCTCGCTAGCTTGTTTCTTTGGTCACGCTTCGTTGGCAGCAGTAGCGACCGGCCGGCTGGGGAATTTCCCCATTGAAGAGCGTTGTTTGGGTCGCTTGTTTTTCCTTCTTGTGCCGGATCTGGTTTCTCCCCCCTTATCTCTCATTTTGGGGTCAATTTAACGTGGAGGCCAAAGGCACTCGAAAGTGTGTTGGAGTGTATTTGTTTTTCTCGCATCATTCTCCATGGCTCTGGCTTGCTTGTTCAAGGCGTAGTAGCTGTTGTTATGTTATTAATTGCATGCAGGTCATAGTCCTGTGAATTTCCATGATTGAAGCACATGCCCTTCCTTTGACCTCGTGGCAACTTGATACAGAAGCCAATGACTCTTTAAGTTGAAGATCTGGGACTGTTTTTTCTGTTTGGCATAGTCATAGAGTTTCTCTCAAAAATACCTAGACAGATATGTGGGGACACTATCTATACGAATATCTTGAGACGCCCCGTTGGAGCAATGGGAATAACTGTATATGTGTCTGTGAGGCTTGTGTTGGCTGGTGCGAGGCTTCGGCTCAAAAATGAATAGGACTGCCTAAATAAAGCTTCTATAAAGAACAAAACGTTTATAAGGGGATCTCATCACCACGCATTATATTCTAAAATAAAAGTTCACTCCCTTTGATGGCACAACTAAATGACAAAGAAGAAAAACAGACGACATAAAGTGGCACAGGGAATGCTCGCATTGTCGTCTGCCTGCCAAGTTTAGCCGCCGTTGATTACTTCTTATGCTTGGTAAAATTGGACATGAACGCTTAAGGTTCCAGTGTTAAATAAAACACGTTCCCGTGCAATGTTGAAACATAAATAGCTTATTTTAGGCTCTTTTATTAAAGAAGTACACCATTTTAACGTGAAGCCAAACGCATTGTCGAGGTGTACAAATCAGAGTCAAGTTCGAAGATCACATATCCCGGCATTCCGTTGCATTCAGCAGCGCACTGGTGCAAGATTTCCCTCTGGGTAATTTTGTGAGAAACTCTATACGGCATAGGTTTCCAGCGCTTCTCTATCTCACTGGTTAGTTTGGTCTCTATGCGAAGCGCAGACCGGTTTGCGAAACCTGCAGCTGGTGTGGTGTTGATATCAGGTGTGTGTCTTTTTAAAGCGTGCTGGGTGTTTGTGACCAAACAACTCGCGTGACTGATAACTCAGGAAATGTTGTTGACTTGCTCCCTCCTGTGAGGTGGGTTTCCCAAGTGCTTGTTTGTGCAGCAGTGCAGTGTGCCGCAGTGTTAAGAAAAGGCTCTGAAACGCCGCTCTTTCGAGCTTTCGCTGTGACAGTGCTGTGCGTTCTGTGCAGGCCTGGCATTTTTCATGCGCTGTGGTTTCCTTTTAAATGTGCCTGATACCATGATTCACCGTGGGAAGACTAGTTTGAGGAGGGTGTCAAGCCAAGTGCGTTTATTCTTTGTGCAGGGCAAACACAAGCGACTTCACAATGAGCCGAAGAGTTGGGCCTCGGAAGCCCGGGGCGTCGGAAGGGCGGACAGACCAGACGCCCTCGTCCCCGCCAGTGTCGCCCGTTGAAGAAGGATGAACGCAAGTCGCTGATGGATTCGGGATACGACGCTGGCTATACATCAATGAGCTGCTCCACTGGTTAGTGGGGCTGTACCCTGTTTTTACAAAAGGGGAATCGTTTGGAAGCTCAATTCATTGTTAGACTTAAAAATGAAACGAACCGACAGTCGAGCCAAGCTAAGCATAGGGGACTTGATTCGTTGTTTTTAACTGTAGTGTAATGATTATGACCCAAATCAAAAGAAAATAAATTGGACAAATAAAGCACCCTTTCCATTGGTAGTATTCAAGCCCACAACCTTCGAAATACACATTTGTCCATCTACCAGTGGACCTTTTTTTGTATTTGTGCATGCTTATTTCATAAGTGTGTTAGGCAGTGATGTTAGTAGCTAAAGCTGTGTGTGGAACACTCTTTGCTGGAGGGCAGGGTCATAAGGAGACATTTATTTGGGTGGGGGTGAGGAGAGACACCATTTGGATCTGAAGTTGGGGCTGGGTCAAGTGGTCTGTGTACAGGAGGGGCTGGGTACAGTGATCGAGTGTCGTTTTGGGCTCTCAATGCTATTGCAACTAAAATTTCCGAAGGGGCGCGTCCTCGGTGTGTGCCACCATTGGCTACGCCACTGCTGGAGGAGGGTGTCATATGACATATGATTTTTGCACAAGGTGCCAGCTGACCAATAAACCCTCGCACGCTAACATAAGGCATCAAGTCTGCCGGGACAAAACATGCACTATGAAAGTACGAAAGTTGGGTAATCGTTCGAAGGGCTCTTTTTTTTTTTTTTTTTGTTATACACAACCAGCGTAACGTAACAAACTTGCTTCTAATCTGCCACTTTCATTTTTCTGTGCTGTCCTCTGTCATTTGGGTCCCAGATAACTGGTACTACCATAGGCAGGACCTTGAGTTGAAAAGACATTTGATAAATTTCTGCTAGGAAAAAAAGCACATGTGCCGGGAAATCCTAAAAAAGGCAGAATCAAAGGTTGTGGTTTTGGATCCCTTCAATAGAAAGGGTGCTTTTTCATACGCTTTCAATTAGGGTTATAATCACTTTAACACGGCTCATTACAATTACTGATAATCTTGCTTTTGTCGATTGTGGTCTGGTTTGATCTGTTCAATGGGTAATTTATTTTTTGTTTACATATGTGTGAATTTCATAGGAGCATAAAATGTGTGGATGAGGGTCTGAAAAGTACTAGGCAGCAATGGAACCACTAGTAAAAGTTACGCACGTAAAAAAGAAAGATCACACCTTTCTCATTGAAAGCCAAGAAACTTCATCTTACAAGTACATTGCTCACAAATTGGAATGCATCTTTCTTGTGGTTAGTAATGGGCTCAATTCCATTTAAACAGTCTCCAGTTGGTGTCATAGCAGTGTAGTATTGACTCGTAATTAAAAAACCAACGCTACCTTCACTGGTAGGATTCATAGCAACACAACATTATCTAGAGAAGTTGCGCTTACCAGTCGTACTAAAAAGTTCCACTGCCACATTCCACAGGTGAGCACTGTACAGTGTCTTTGTTCAATTTTTTTCGGCATGCCATTTTCATTTTGCACATCAAATTGCATCACGCCTAGCTACCCTTGCCTTCCTTTTGTTTATGAGGTTAGGGTCGTTCCCAAGCGTGAGACATTGTCCAACTCGTGTCAACTCTGTGAATGTGCGTTAACCGTCGTACATTTGCGAAAGCCAGGCACGGGACAAACCTGAACGATGAACTGCTAGCTGCTCTCTTCAGGGCTAATTTGTTGCTCTACACTGTGACTATGCATAGATGTATCACCAAGTGTGGGCCGGTGCTTATTATTTTGAAAAGGAAAGAGTGAATATTTTAGTTCTAATAGTACTTTCAATTTAATCAATGCTGACATTCTGAAGATTGCCTGTGACAGACAACGCAATTGTTGTTCTTGGCCTCCACTGCTCTAAGTCGTGAGCGTTACTTGTGCAAGACATCGAATTACGTGATTGGCTCATTTGCAAATATACACATTAGCAATGCTCTTAATTACTTCACGGCACATTGTCACTATTGCTCATATGGTCCTACGTTTTTTGCACCATTTTCTTTTAAATATTGCTGTGATTTCGTCGCTGTTTGCTGACTAAAAAGCTAATCCTCTTTTTACTTTTTGTCAGGACGTCCCCCCGACAGTTTTTACTTTGGGACCCCCGATTGTTCATTCGACATGCAAAAAATGTATTCATAAAAAATGTATCTATTTTTGGATAAATAACAACAACGGCAAATATGAAAATTTACTAGTTGTAGCCTGCACATGTGCTTAGCATATACGGATTGGAGCAAACTTTCAGGATGACGGTAGTTTCAAGGAAATTGTTCCCCAAAGTTAATTAAAAATGCTTAAGAGGAGACTCCCCAGCCTGAACACCAGAAAAGTCCAAACTTTCTTGCCCCCTCCCCCCCCCCCCCGCCCATGATTTATGCCAACTATATCGCTTGTATACTAGCTGTATACTACATATGGCATGTTCAATAATGAATATAAATATTTATTAGATGCTTAAGTGATGTTTTACACTTCAGAAGTCATTGGGAACATGCATCTACTCCGAAAACATCAATAGCAACCCTGAGCTATAGCATTTTTTTTTTTCTGCTCCGAATACATTTGAGCCTGCTCCAAAGCACCATATTTTCTGCTCCAAAAAGCAAAATGTCGCTTCCATCACTGCCCTCACAAGTGTTCATTACTTCAGCATGCATAATGTAGTTTCTTGCACATATTTTAAGACCCTTATCTCAATATCCATGAAATGCTGAGATTTCAATCTAAGGGAATGCACATTGAAAACTTGCATAGAAAACTTGAATGTTACAATTGGTCAATTTCGATAGATATAAAAGTAATTGGGGAGATAAAAATTTGTGGTCAGTGAGCTTGAGTGCATTGTGTGTTTTGATGACCTTGCACTCTCGCCACCTCTGCCACCTCTCGTAGAAATTTTTGGAAAAATACATTGTTTAAAAATAAAAAGATAGTGTTAACTTATGACAGGAAGTTGACCTAGCTTATAGGTTTTAATTGTAGTAGAGAATAAGGCATGCAAAGATGGGTGTAAGAGGATAGAACCTTGCAATGCAATTTGTGCAATTAAATTGAAAGCAAAGTCCATCTGGCGTAGGTGCCAACCCAAGCTATGGATAGCTGTTTAAACATGACATTTCCTGTTTATGTTACGTAACTGATAGCTGTTTTAACATGGCATTTCCTGTTCATGTTACGTAACTGAAGAGTGGTTAATGCATGTACTTCTTCTAAAATATTCGTGGGTCAAGCATCAAACCTATGTGTTTTTTTCAATCTTGTCTCTGTATAAAACTGGAAAGTCATTGATTGGATCTAGGTGCAGACCTGCCTCAGTGGTCAACTAATTGTGGTGTTTTACTGCTGACCCGAAGGTTGCTGTAGCTGCCAAGGCTACATTTTTGGTCGAGGTGAAATGCTAAAGGCCTCCACCACGGCGGCCCTCATAATCGGACCATGGTTGTGGCGGGTAAAACCTTAGCAATTATTGTTACAGTCAAAGCCGTTATGACATCACAACAAGGGTCGCGTGTGCTGTAGTTGTCCACCGGCACCGTTGTCCATAGCCATTATTCTGTTAAATAAGAAGAAAAAAAAGCTAGATAAATAAGAAACACCGTCACAGTGGTATTTGAAGCCGAGTCCCCTTCCACAGAGCCATGCCGGTGCTTGAAACGTCGTTGCAAACAGGCCTTAGGCGAGCTTGATAACGGGAAAGTAATCACGTTAATATGAGGAACGAAGCGTTTTATAACGGCAAAGGAACAAACCTGGCGTCACACAATGTGATTTGCATGAAAAGTCGGCCGTCGAATGCTCCAATTCATTGAAACAGCCACGGGAAGATTTCTTCGTAATCGTCAGCCACCGCATCAAAAAATTACACAAATTTTCTTGCAAGTGTGTTGCCAATGCTGCGCTTCTCCAAGGAATGACGAAGGATTTCATAGTGGATACCTGTACAAAAATTGTGATGATTGATGGTGTAGTGGGTACCCTGTAAGTGTACTAGTAGCAGTTACCCGAATAGTTTATAAAAACGGCTCTAAAAGGTCCGTAGGCTTCCAGGATTCACTGTGACTGTGCTGCGTGTTCTGCGCAGGCCTGGTGGTTTTTTTATACGAGTCTTTTGCGCATTTGCAATTTCGACTATGTAACGAAATATGAGATGGGGTGAGCTTCTGGGTCGCGACATACTGTGCTCAAATAACGTCTCATTGAAACGCCAGCTTGTCCACATGATAACAAGTTTTGTGGCATCCTGATGCAGCAACGGATCCAGACATCATCTCAAGGTCTACCTGCAGTATGCTTGACTCCGGGTTGCTGGACGAAGAAGTCCAGCCCAGCAGTGACCTGAAGATGGCATCGGCGGCGAAACTTGACAGCGGCTACATCGAGCCGACCTCGTCGGCGTTGTTGCTAGAGGAGGACTGCGAGGCGCAGCTGCTTCGCCGCAAGCTCAGTGTGCGAGGGATGTATGCGCAGGACGAAGATGGCGACACGTAAGTTTGTGCCTTGTCGTTCTGCCGTGATGTGTCTGAAGGCCTTTTTGGTTGGAGGAAACCTGGAATGGTATTCTGCAAGTGTCCACAAATGAACGGGGCCACTCAAGTGGCCAGTAGAAAAATACGAGGGGGGGTTCATATTATAAATGCCAATTTATCATTATCCCTGATGTACTGTAGTACTTGGATACCGAGTGAAAACTTCGAGGCTTACAAGAAGGGTGTACCTTAAATTGAGGATGACAGTGTGCTGTAGAAGTAGCTGTAACCTTGAAGAGGTACTGACACTAAAATTTTGCGGGTGAGATAGCCTGTGGGATCGATTCCCATGAACATGCAAACATCACCTGCAAGATATTAACAGTAAAGATAGCTTGGAAGGTGTTTATGAATATTGAAGTTTCCACGTGTTATCGAGCTCTGCACTAAAACCTCATTACAAAAAAGCTGAATTTGACTAGAATATAAGTTCCTTATATCTGAAAATTCTTCATAAAGGTTTATTCCAAACACTATATTGCAAAACTATTTCCCCCGCCGTGGTGGTCTAGTGGCTAAGGTACTCGGCTGCTGACCCGCAGGTCGCGGGTTCGAATCCCGGCTGCAGCGGCTGCATTTCCGATGGAGGCGAAAATGTTGTAGGCCCGTGTGCTCAGATTTGGGTGCACGTTAAAGAACCCTAGGTGGTCAAAATTTCCGGAGTCCTCCACTACGGCGTCTCTCATAATCATATGGTGGTTTTGTGACGTTAAACCCCACATATCAATGAATTATATTGCAAAACTATTTTTCTTTCACTTCATTGTAACCGGTATTTTCTTATACCCCGGTTCTTCATATCGAGCTTTGAGTGCTTACGCCACGCATAGCAGTATTGACACCCTCAAAAGTGACCCCCTACTTTCCTCACATCACTGTGCTGCGCCGATACAACAAGTTATGATCAAGTCATAGCCACCGTTGCCCTTTTGTAGCGCTTGCGCCAGCAGACTACTACTCAGCGGCTGCTTGCGAGTCCGTAGCTGCAGCACACGTGATGATAGTTTCGCAACACTGACTTTCCTGTTTCCTGTTTGGACGGACTTCTTGATGCGGATCGTGCGGAGGTGTGTCACAGTTCTGTTTGCTAGGTGGTGAGAGTTTCGTCTGGGTGCTTACTACTTATAGAGCTCTTTCAAACAAAGACTGAGACTTGGTTAATGATGAGGAGCATGTAATTATTTGTTGTGCGCTGGAGCAAACAACTTAACGTGTTATGGCAAATAGGCCCCCAGCAACGCATTGCAGCAAATAATTATGAGGCCAAAATTTTTGTGTCGGTAGTTCAAGGGCTATGAAGGGAGCAGAGTGGCTTAGGGAACAAACAGCCGTTAAGGGCATCTTAGTTAAAAAATAAAATCAGAAAGAAGAAATGGCCATGGGCAGGGCATGTAGCTAACAGGCGGAGGCCTATCATGAAAGGCATGGCATGCATAGGCTTGTTATTAAATGACATACATTTAATGTCACATTGATGATGCATATTTAATGTTATTTTAGTGTCAGGTATAGGTCTGTCATTAAAATAATGGACTGGATTCTAAAAGAAGGCATGTTTGTGAAAGACAGTAAGTCGGGTGACTTTGAGAAGCTTGCTGGGAAAATATGGTCACAGCAGACACGGGACTGGGCCGGCAACCAGTCGAGTTGGGTTTAGCCTTTAGCTTTAGCCTGTGGTCTTTCTTATGAGCTGCTGTGCTGTTTCGGGTTAGAAAAACGCTGTATTTCGGCCTGGTCTAGCAAGTCGCAACACCTTGGTTATTGAAAACGCTTCTTTCATAATCTCTTCACGCCGAGCTACCTTCTCTTTCGTGTTGCGAAAAAGAGGGTAATTTTATTGTTGCGTGAGACAGCAAAACTAGTCTCCTATTCCCCACAGTTTTGTTCCTCTCAAGCGGTGGTAAAACCAGGGGCAAGAGAATGTGTGCCTTTCAGTCTCACAAACTGTATCTTTGGAATCATGCGTCAGAAACTTGTACTCAACGGTGGTAAACTTGTTCTCCGTGTTATGTGCCTACCCCTCATAGTATGTATGTGGACTTTCAATGCTTTTATGAAAGGGAATGTGCCAACTCATAACCTGCCATCCTAAGCAATAATTTGACATGTGCTACCAATAATGAAAAATTTTCTCATGAACATTTTCTTTCACTTAGCTACACCAGTGACTAGTAATATTAGTTCTAATTGTAGTCACGGGCAGGCAGAGTAGAAAGCAGGCAACGTACTCCCTTGTTTTCTTTCATAAAGGTCGTGTCCACAGCACAGTGCCTCTTACACCATTGGCAATATAACCATGAACATTACACCATGATGCTTTTCTATATTAAAGTGATGTAGCACCGTGGGAAAAGTTAGCTGTAGTGTGCACTTCATTGTGTGTACTCTAGGAAATCCATAACGCCAACACAATGCCAATGTGCAATATGCATACTGTCACATTGTGTCGATTTTTATGTAAGGGGCTTTTCAAGCTCCGTTAGTCTTTATCTGCGATTCTGTGTGAACCCTTGCCCTCCTCAAGGTTACCGTGAACGCAGTAAAATTATCTTTACGTTTTTTTTTTTTCTTTATGACAGGCTGTTGCACATCGCGGTCATCAAAGGCTGGATGAGATTGCTTGTGCGCGTAATTCGTGAAACGCCACATCCGGATCTTCTTGACATCCAAAACGACTACGGGCAGGTCAGTGCACATGGTGTTTTCAACATCCGGCGTGTGCGTGCGTGTGCTTGCATGCTTGCACTCTGGGTTTGGCATCTTAAAACCTCATGAAGTATACAGAGTGGAATCTAGATCAATCGAAACGTGAAAAACTGGATCACTTATCAAGTGTTTGATTTGATTGAATAATTCCATGGTTTTTATTGGACACAGAAAACAAGCGGTGATGTAAACACTTTCGACTAGCACAGTTAAACCCCCTTTATTGCACCAAGCAGGAATTGTCTTTTATATGAGGTTTGTTATAACGAGGGCACCTCATGCATTTTTTTTATCTACTCCTATTTTAATGTAGACACACTAGTGTGTCTTGCATCAGTATTCCTTATGAAGAGCTTTGACTGTATTTCAAAACCAATTTCAACTTCATTTGGCGAATAAGGCTTGAGGCCCCTTCAATCATGGCCACCGTGGTGCAAGTAATGTTGAGGGCCACTGTTTCATGATGGCAGAACTAATGACAATAGAGAGGTCAAAGAACAATTTATTCATTTATTGAAAATGTTTAAGTTCGGTGTCTCCAATTTACAATCTTGACTTGCACCTTTTTGTTCTGCAGACGGCACTGCACGTGGCCGCTCTATGTGGCCGACACGACGAGGCTCGCCTGCTGGTCGTTGCCGGTGCAACGGTGGATGCGACGGACGATGTCGGGAGGACGCCATTGCACATTGCCTGCCGACGCGGCGACTGCAGAGTGGCCAGCGACCTTGCTTGCCGACGTCACCGGGGTGAGCTGAAGGCTGTTGCTGAATGGATGGTAGAATTATTAGAGATGCGAGTTTGGCTATTTGGTACGAATCGGCTTCAGACAGTTATAGGTGCAGCAAGAACAAATGACAAGGTCTCAAACTGAGTATTTGCTCATTAAAAAAACAGTTTCATAGGACACACAGAAAGCTGTGCAGCAGCGGTTAAAAATGTTCACTCTGCACGTGCCCCTTATAACAACCACTAATTTGCTTACCCTTTGCGGTCCGTCTGAAACCTCTTCCCACCTTCCGTTCGTTCTTGTCCAAAACTGAATGACTCAAAGCTCAAGTAAAAGAAGTTTTCTTGCGCTTTTGCAGATGGCACTTAATGCGAGAAAACAGCACGGCAATGAACCGCGAAAGAACCTGTCGAGTAATGCCCCACTGCCCAACGACGTTTTGCTGCGGCAGTGTTGCATTGTCAGGCAGGATTGAAATGATTAAACTATTCAACCTACTCTTGCCACTTCTTACTAAGCAGTTCAATGCATAGGTTTCTTTCAAGCATGCACATTTTTTTTTATTGGCGAGAACCAACATGACTCAAAGCTGTCTTGTACCCTCTCATCGGAACCTGAATGGTCTCCAAAGTGGTTTCTCAATATCATCAATGGTTGCGCTACAACTAGAGTATAGAACCTCTACCAGTGTGGTTATGGCTGATTAGTAAGGCTAACTTTCTGTCATAGCGCCAAGTGTTGTTTGTTATGAATGTTGGTCAAGCATCGGCAAGCACTCTATTTGTGTTGACTTCTCAGAGCTTGCCTTGAGGGATGTCACCTACAATATTGTAGTGGTGGTCTTCTTTCGCTCGTCATGTCCTGTCCACCCTTTCAGGTTTTTATTTTTTTTCTTCGTAACCTGCTCTAATTGGAGCATTTCACGCTGAGCTGCCGTCTTCTTTGACTTTACAAAGAAGGGGGTAAGATTTTCTTGTGCGTGAGACAGCAGAATTTGTCCTCTATTCCCCGCTGCTCACCCATATTTGGGCAGCGGTAAAACCAGGGGCAGGACATGCTTTCGTCTGCTCTGCTTGACTACCTTTTGTTTTTCTTTTTCACATTTCGTTAAAACCTGATATTTCATACGGACACTTGGAAGTTCCGACAGATGCGCACGAAAGATGGAAAGCTAGAGTAGCGTTCTTGACTTGCATAGCAATGTTTCAGTGGTGGCAAGCTCAGCAAATAGTTTTGAGTGACTACGCAACTTCACCAATTTGGGACATTTGATAGTATGTTTTCTGGATAAGCATTATATATCATGGCCTAAAAAAGCAACTTGAACAAGTTGTGCAGTGGGCACAGTTGTACAAGCAGTGATAATGCCTTGAAATGAGGAACTAATAATTTAAATTATTTTGTATTGTCAGGCTTTGTCGCATAGATAATACGTATTAGCTTGGTTTATTGGTTTATTCGTATGCATTGGTTTATTCGTATGCATTGGATATGCAACATTGGTTTATTCGTACGCATTCAAGACACCATTACATCACAATTCAGCGCATTATGCTCGTATCCTTTATTTTATTTTAACTTCAAAGTCTGGGCGGCTCTTCTGAAGTGCATAGCAGACAACGAGGTCGATTTTATTCATGTGCCCAAAACTTGCCGAGGTGGTGCAATTGAAATCTGGGAAGAGACCACGTCTTCTGGAGGAAACGAATTGTCTTTGTAACTGTGTTGTCTGTAATTCTATCGCGCCCTGATGATCAGCAAATCATCGGTCATTTTCTGCATGCTCTGTAACGATTAAGACGCCTGGCCATTATCGGTCTCGGACTGCTCTCCCTGTCTCTCTTGTGACGGGCCCCTCGTGCCCTCCTCGTCTTCAGGAGGAGACTGACTTCTTGCAGACCCGTTACGATGTGCGCCCGGGCGGCCACGATTCCGCCCGCACAGCTGCTTTGGTGTCCCAGCGGACGCTGGCGGGCGACACAGGCACTCCACCTGGCGGTCAGCTCCGGCTCACTGGACCTCGTCGAGCTGCCTGCTGCGACATGTGCCCGACCCCAACGTTCGGGTAAGTGACTACGAGTTTTTGAGGGGATAACGAATTTCTGCGAGAACCGTAGGAAACGAAGGTCGATGTTTAGTGTATGACATTTCACCACTACTAGTAAAGACAACACGCACAGTAATTGACACAGACGAGTGTTAGTGTCTTTCGTGTGTGTGTGTGTTATCTTTTATCCTGGAGTTTTCTATAAATACACTAGAGGGAACTCGGGTTATAGTGTCTGAGAGCTGCAATGCACAACGCTTCAGCGAGCGTGAGAATGGTGCGGATGAAAACAGATTTGTCTAATTTTCATACCTTCGGCTCCGCTCGGCTTCGTGTGTCTTGGAAGTTGCTTAGTCGCAGAACGACAATCGACAAATATTCAGCAGTTGCACTTCACTATAACCTTTCGGCTCACCATTTGAAATCTGCTCACAAAGTTTATAACAGTCCATTTTTTTTTATTCGAAACAAAACCAAAACACAGCAATAAATGATGCCACAATTGCATTTGAAACCCACAAGTACGAAGACTAGGCGAGTCTGTGTACTAGTCATCATTCCCTATGGTCGCTGGGCTATCACAGTGCCAGAGTCGCCTCTAGTTAATTTTAGGAAACTCCTGTTTTTACAAGGATACACTCAAACCTCATTATAATGAAGTTGCATCTTACAGCAAAATATGTTTGTAACATCTGAAAATTTGTTATAAAGGTGAATTCCCTAACACTGTGTCTATTGATAGACTATTCTTTATGTGTTATTACCAATGTTTTGTTATATAGAGGTTTTAGTGAAGTTAATTTCAGTGAGGAGCATTTTAGTCGAGTATCAATGTTCACTGTGTGACTTTTTGTCACTGTATTTAAGACAATTCACACTTTAATGGCACAATCACGACGAGTGTTGGTGCATTCCTTATGCGTGTTATCTTTATCGGAGGATAATGTCATATAGTAAGCACCAGTCAACTAGGTCAAGATATGCCAAGCTGATGCATGCGTTCATGACAAATTTAGGATGCATTTGGTCCCCAGCACTTCTCCCTGGTGCGAAAGAACATTGGCTGCCATTTGGAGCATTTTACTCCGTGTTGGCAGATATTGTTTACTCAACTTACGTGTACGCAAGTCAGGAAAGTTTGCGTAGACGTCTTAATCGATAAGTTAGGAGGCATTTTCACTGAAGATAGCACGTTTTTGCGTTAGGTCTAGTATGACACGCTGCCCATTGTGTGGCTCTGGAACTTAAGGACTCCTAATTGGCTTGTAAAACTTCTTGAAGATTTCAACAGTTTTTATCCATGTCCGAACGATTTGTTGACTTAGTCCTTTCATCTTTTCTTATTTGTTTATTTATTTAGCTTGGGGCTTACTTCTGCAAGTGGATGTACATTGCGTTTCTCTGTTTCCTTGCGTTTTGTCAAGACACTTTTGTCTTGCACGTCATGCTGCGTCACGCCTAGCTGCCCTCACTTTCCTGTTTTGAGGCGAGGGCCGTTCCCAAGCGTGAGACATAATGCACCTCGTGTCAACTCTGCAGTCGTGCGCATCACACTCGCGCGTCTGCGATAGCCAGGCACGAAACATTTCCCAGCAGTGTATTACCTGGGCCTTAATGGAGCGTTCGCATCGAACGTAGAGCAGCCAAGCTGCGACAATCATTCTGAAAAGTGAAGAAAAGCGCGGGGAAAACTATAGAGTGAGGCAATCTCTCTCGCTTCCATTATTTCTCCGTGCTGCTTCACAAATTAGCTGCAGCCAATCATAACACAAAAAAAATGGCATCCACAGAGTCTCACTAACGAGCTATGTTTTCTCGTGCACATTTTATCAAAAGACTTGAGCATTGCCCTGTATTATATGACAAGCTACACAATTATTTAATCTCATTTTTTCCGATCTGGTCATCTTGCACAAATGGATGGTAGGTGGATGCATGTGAATAGTTGAGCTAGTTATTGGAAGAGTCACAAGGTCGCGGCATTTTGCAAAAGCACAAGGTTCACTGCCTCTGCAGAGAGTCGGGCAGTCTGATCTAGTATCTTGTTCTAATTATAAACTTTTTTTTTTTTTTTCACACTATGGATCAACAGAGACTAAAATCATGGAAGCGTGACTGAAGGGGGAAGCTTCGCTAGTTGCGAGTAACAAAAATGGGTGTCGCTTTCAAAACAGTTACTATGTACAGTGGAACTTCGATTATAAGTCCCCCGGTTTCGCGACTACCCGCATTTTACGACGAATCGGCTAGGTCCCGGCAAAATCCTTGTAGGAATAATGTATCAGAAACTTTGGTTATACGGCGGAGTTTGACGCCAACCCCGCAACTTGACACGACATTTAGATTTCGTCCAAAAGAAAAAAGAAACCTTTACTCGAATCAAGCGTGGACCAAATATTCATGATTGCAAAATATACCGTAAAAACCCGCGTATAGCCCGGGGTTTTTTTCTAGATTTTAGGGTGCGAAATTTCGGCCCCGTACTATATGCGGGTCCCAAGAATTTTCGGCCCAAATTCAGTTTCGGTTTCGGCATAGCGCGGTGCTATCATCATCATCAGCTGTCTGCGCGCTTCTGCGCTAGGTAGTGTTAGCGGCGTTAGTCTTAACTGGTCAGTTGGTCAGTGGCCTTTGCTTCAACTTGGTGCCCATAATGACGGCCTCGATTTTGCTCCTGTGATTTTACGCCATGTCAGGACCGCGCAGGCAGTACTCTGCTGCTTTTAAAAGAAAAGTTATCGCTGCTGCCGAAACCATCGGCAACTGTGCCGCGGAGCGGCAGTTCGGAGTCAACGAGCGGAGCATTCGCGGTTGGCGGAAGCAGAAGGAAGCCCTCTTTGCATGCAGCGGCCAGCGAAAAAGTTTCCGCGGACCAAAAAATGGAGCATTTCCTGACGTGGAACGGGAACTCACAGACTTTGTGCGGGAGCAGCGAGCTGCACATCTCGCTGTCAACATCGAGCTGCTACAAGCGAAGGCAAGGGAGATCGCTCGAGACAAAGGCATTCAGCCGGAGGATTTCAAAGCGAGCAAGCATTGGGTGTCTCGCTTCATGCGCCGCGCTGGGTTCTCCCTACGTCGGCGTACGTCGATCTCCCAGAAGCTACCAGAGAGCTACGAAGAGCACCTCGTGGCTTTTCAAAGGTACATAATTGTGTTGCGAAAGGCAGTCCCCTTTCAGCTGGGCCAGATCGGCAACGCGGATCAGACGCCGGTCTACCTGGATATGCCCTCGGCGCTGACGGTGCATCAGAAAAGCTCCAAGCAAGTTATCATGCGATCTACTGGGAACGAAAAAAACTCGGGTGACTGTAATGTTGTTTTGCACTGCAGACGGTCACAAGCTACCACCCTACGTGGTGTTCAAATGAAAGATGCTGCCGAATTGGGAGAAGTTCCCGAAAAATGTGGTCGTCCGCTGCCAGGACAAGGGGTGGATGGACGAATTGCTAGTGGTTGACTGGATAAAGTCCGTGTGGTGTTGGCGGCCCGGAGCACTGCTGGTGTTCCCTTGGATGCTTGGGCTCTATGGGTTTCGGTGTCACCTGGCCGACTCCGTAAAGCGACTGCTGCGCGACTCCCGCACCGAGCTCGTCGTCATCCCGGGAGGGATGACATCACAGCTGCAGCCGCTTGATGTGTGCCTTAATAAGCCATTTAAGGACCATGTCAAGCGCCTGTACGTGGAGTGGATGAGGTCCGGAGAACCAGAAGTGACCCCTGCCGGACGGCTGAAACGGGCCTCGCCAGCGATGCTCTGCTCGTGGATAGTCGAGGCTTGGGCCTGCATTCCAGAGGCGCTCGTTTGCCGCGCCTTCAAAAAGTGCTCCATCTCCAACGCGCTTGATGGCACTGAGGATGATGTGCTGTGGGAGAACATTTCCGACAAGGGAGCTTCGGAAGAGAGTGCGTCCGACGACGAGGATGAATGAAATGTCAATAAATGCATTTTTTCCATTTTCCTCGGACTATATTCGGGTGAAAACTTTTTTTCTCACGTTTGCTATCCCCGAATTACACCCCGGACTATATGCGGGTCCGAGCTATATGCGGGTTTTTACGGTAAACTTGCGTTCCCCTAGGTTGACGATTAGAAAAGTAGAGAGCGAGAAACATGTTTTCTTAGAATGGAAAATTTATTCTCCTGGAAGTTCATGCGCTTCTACACACGCCGCAATCGCATGTGCGTGTATCTGGGGTCCTTTCCTAATCAGGCTTTATCCACACAAAACAGCTCCAGCCGGCCAAAAAGCTGATATTTTCACGTTTTCGGTCCACGGAAACATTTTCTGGTCGACATACAGCTGATCTACCAGCTTTGTCGCTCTCGCAGTCACAGGCTTGCGGACGCATAAGGGCGCGACGCAACTGTTCTCACTGTAAACGATTACTTTCACTCGACGTCGACGTTCATACTAACAGCAGGACATCACTAGTTGCACTTCACAAAGCCACAAATTGCAACGTGCATAGCTCAGTCGCACACGAAGGCACTCTACGCACACTCGTGGTCGGTCGCCATTGTGTGACAGCGATGACACTGTGTCCGACTCTTCTGACTGGAGGCTATTGGCAACACGGTTTCTTTTTCACGCACAGGCAATTTTTGGACTCTATTTATTGGTAGAAGGGTGCGCGTTAGATTCATTAATTTTAAACTTGAGAATAGAGGTTCGCTCGCATCTCTTCCAACTAAATTACGCTGCGATTAGCTGTCGCTAGTAAGAATAATTTAATCGCCTTCCTAGCAGAGGCACAAGGTCGTGTCGCGGGCTTATTCAAGTGGCATATCCCATTTTTGGGGGCAAGGCTGAGTGTCATTGCTATATTCTTAGTTCTTTTATTATACGACGGCTTTGCGTGGTCCCCTGAAAGTTGTATAAGCGGATTTCCACTGTATATAGTTCTTAGTTACGTGTGGGGAAAATGCAGCTTCTTACCTTCGCCGCCTTACCGCAGTAAAATGTCGCCCACCTTTCAGATTGCTCCGGCTTCAATGTGAACCTGTTTTTCTTGTACCTCTGGTTTTGCTCTCCGGTCTAGCTTGTCACACTCCCACTGTTTCAATATTGCAGAATGAAACAATTTGAAGAGAATTATACGAATCTCCAGCAAATTATTTTGATGTGTCAACTCAGGAGCGGTACTGTGGTGCCACACCGCTGCACCTGGCCTGTCGGCTGGGCCGGCCGGACCTGGCCAACGTGCTGCTTCAGTCCGGCCGCGTCGACGTCAACGCCACCGACTACGGCCGCAGGACGGCACTGCGCCACCTGTGGGACGCGCAGCGGCAGAACCCACGCAGCAAGGACCTGTTACGCTTGGTACTGTTGCTGCGAGACCACGGTGGCATGCCCATTGTTGACCCAGGCTCCGAAGACGAGGATGACTCTGAGGAAGACAGTTCCGAGGATTATGAGTCTGAGGTGAGAAAATCTTTCATTGGAGCAACCTGTGTGTTCAGTGGAAAGCTAAGATGTAAAGTAGCCGGTATGAATTCTACCAAGGCTGCATTGGGCTCGCACAAAACCATTTATGCAGCGGCATTGCTTTTATTTCAGGATGAGGAAGATGGCGTTCGAGTCAACCCGGTCAACAGTAGGCTGCCGCCACATGGCTATCCTAGGGTGAATGATATCGGCGCGTCATAGCAGAAACCCTGAAGGCAAATCGTTCTTGCATTCCAAGCATTCTGTCATCATGTCATTCTCGTCGTCATTTGCGTCATCGTTAGAACCTTCGAGTGTTTGTCAGCAGGATTGGTTTAAGTCAACCGTGCATTCTCGTTTACTACCGTCACCAATTTTGACGGTTTTCTCAAGTCTGTATACATTTGGGGCTGCTTGTTGGCACCCCTCGTGTCACTTGTGCTAGTGAAACTTTAGATTAATTCTGTTGCTCGTGTGAGGTCATTTGCGTTCTGGTACTTTGTGTTAGTTGTAGCTTACTGTTGAATAAGACTGATGTCACAGTAAAACATTGTACAAGCTGCAAGCAATGTTGGAAACTAGCACAATTGTCGTGGCGCTATAATTTTGGTTGTTGTGGCACTGTTCGCATTTGTGGAGTGAGGCAATTTTTGTCAGTTTCTTGAGATCTTTGTTCACACAGCTGCTGCTTATGCCATCTCGTCACCATTATACCTTGAAATCCTGTAATAGAAGGGGCCTCTCAGGTTGACTTGTGTGCAAAAACTAGCCTTCTGTGACATTATGCGCAACTCTAAAACCACAAAAAAAAATTGTCTGTTGTTATAACTACAACAGACCTTGATTTGGTTAAACCTTAATTTTCGATGTGGCAGAATTGTAATTTGCGACTGTGTGACAGATTCGACGCCAACTGCTGTGTGAACAGGGGCCAACGCTACTTGTGCACTTGGCTACTGTTCTTTGTATGTCACGTAAATGAGCGTGTGCATGTACGTGTATATAGGTATTAGTGACCGGGGTACCATTATTCCTCTTTTGTTCTTCTAGGGTTTGTCGGGAGTATTATTTATTAGTGTGACGTTGAAAACTGTAAAGTTCGAGTTCTGTTCTACACATTTCTTGTCGTGTACAATTTAATGGAACGTATATGTATGCGTGCGAGATGTGGCATATGTTGAAGTTCTTCGTTGCGAGTCATCAGGCGCTTACGATACAGACCTGCCAGTTTGATATATGTGCTTTGTGCAAAATCGGAATGGGCTGTATATGGGCGTGCTCAACTTGCATAATAGACCGTCTGAAAAGAGTTGAGCTAGCAGGGATAAAGAGTAGTGAAGCCATCTACGCGGAATATTAGTGCAGTTTTCTTTTTCTTTTTTGAAGTAGCCTTTTAATTCTGGAGGACGGGTTCCGGAGAGCTGCAGTGCTTGGATAACATTCTATTCTTTAGCTGCTGACCGGCCTTTATCTGCTGCTGCAGTTCTTATGAATCTGGGTTTCTTTTTATCCTTGGGTGAAGTTCATAATTGTAGTGTAAAAATCTTTCAAGCACTGCTTGTTTTAAGCAACTACCTTTGCCTGCGGGTGGCAGATATTGAAACCCTTGGCACGCATGTCCTTTGCTTTCGTGGTACTTGTTCTAAATTTGTGGGGGGATTTAACTGTTTGAAGGCCAGAAGAAGAAAAAAAAAAATGTAGCATCAACGTGAGCCCAGTTATTCTAATGCATCCCATTCCACATGCAGTCACTTTTGAACGTTTTTGTCATGGAGTGGGTTGTTCCTTTCTTTCTGGCACATGTGGAAATTGCGAAAGAAATGCCATGCGTAGGTGCTGCGAAACATATGCAAGTGAATAAGCTACTTTTTCATGTGTACGAATGTCGTAAATGTACTCTCCCATTGTGTGGATGTGCCGAATGTGTGTGATGTTGCAACATGTGTGGAGACTATTAACAAACATTTTTTTTCCCATGTGCAGCAGACGTCTGTGTGACTGAATATACTAGGTTTACGATTGACTGTAGGAACCTTATGTGGGCACGTTCGTATCACTTCGGGGACGCCTGTTATGGCATCATTTTTGCCCCTTTCGCACCATTGAAATGAACACATTGCTATGCCTTATATGGCGCAACTGTACAGGCATCTTTGTTGTACCAAAAGTGTTAATACTTCGTCCCTAGTACCAATATGGTTATGATAACATTGAAGCAACATCTTTCTGAACGTTGTGGCAACGTTGCCGCAGCGATTGTGGCCACAGGGGTCATTGTATAGTGAAGTTATTCTTGCACTAGTATTTTGGAAAGGCTAAGAATGGCAGCAGCGTGAGTGGCACTAGTTATATTAGATTTTGTAGCAGCAAGTTATATGGCGCAAGCAATTACTTTTGTTCACCGAATACATTTGGCATCAACGTCAAGTGAGAGCACGCGCTCGCAGACAGGACCCTGAAGTGAGAGCACGCGAGGCAGAAGCACGCCGGGAAGCTGCGCGACGTCGCCGCCAAGATTCTGCTGTACGGGAACAAGAAGCCACATCAGCAAATCGGCGTCGGCAAGATCCCGCCGTTTGTGAACAAGAAGCTGCAGCGGCACGTCAGTGTCGGCAAGATCCTTCCGTACGGGAGCGAGAGGCCACATCAGCAAGGCAGCGTCGGCAAGATCCTGCTGTACGGGAACAAGAAGCCACATCAAGGCAGCATCGGCAAGATCCCGCCGTTTGTGAACCAGAAGCTGCAGTGGCACGTCAGCGTCGGCAAGATCCTTCCGTACGGGAACGAGAGGCCAAGGCAGCACGTCAACGTTGCAAAGCAGATCTTGAAAACGTTCGACAATTGGAAGCGGCGAGGAAGCGCGCATATCGCAAGGCGAATTAACGGAAGAAAATTTCACGATATTACTTCCAGGAGCTTCGCCCAATCTCATCATCATTCACCTCGTGGATCTGCCGTCAATTTTTTTTTTTTCTGCTTGTAACGGTATAATGATTGAAGATGTTTAATTCATCTTGGTGTTTAGTGTGATGCTTGCCACGCATCTTATTGCCAGCTTGCTCAGTGAAACCTTTTATTTTATGTCAGTGAACAGAAATCTACTTCATTGCACAAACACTGCTGTGTTAATAGCTTTTCCAGGTTCTCTCGTTCTCCTGTAGAGAGGCTTTATTGTATATAAAAAGAAAAAAAATATTGTTTCTGTGGTCATGAGCTTGTACTGTCCACTAGGCATTGTACTGTTACTGTAATATAACTATTTGTAATATATTACAACTAATACTTTACCGTCTTTTTCTCTGCTTCGAGTGCAAGTATTGCGTGACGTGGTTCCTTTGTTGTGAAAATGTGCGAATGTTTTTCACGACTATCTTTTGTTTCTTTGTTTTTCTGAAGGCAGCGGTTGAATCCAGTGAAGTGTGGAGCATACTTTCCAGTATATGCGAAATTTCCAAAAATTGGCACTCGCACATGCTGGTAATAACTTGCTTTGTTACGGGGCAGTTTGTGTTTGGGTGAAGAAGTCTTAGTGCCCAGTTGATATTAATGCCTGAAATTCTTGTATTTTGAAAGTTTTCATACAGAATCAAGCAGCATACTTCCTTTGGTGGTCAATGTTACGTAAACGTCAGCTGCTTCCAAGGCCCCCCAAGATGGTGTTAAAACTAGAATTTTCATAGAGCAAATCAGTCCATTAGTGTGCAGTAATATACAGCTGCTTACAACTGGCTTATAAGTGCTTTGAGAATCCTGGTAAAATATTTGTAGTTATATACATGGCACTTGGTTAAACACAGCCATGCAATTGGTGTTTCAATGTTCGCTCTTCTGCATAAATTGTGCCGAGTCATTTAGTAATGCTGATTGGATGAATTTCTCATTTCCTGGTCGAAATGTAAGAACATGTAGCTGCACCCCTTCAGCAGTAAAGTCAAAATGTTAAAGAACATCTCGTTGCACATAAACATTTGCAGCCCCGCCGCGGTGGTCTAGTGGCTAAGGTACTCGGCTGCTGACCCGCAGGTCGCGGGATCGAATCCCGGCTGCAGCGGCTGCATTTCCGATGGAGGCGGAAATGTTGTAGGCCCGTGTGCTCAGATTTGGGTGCACGTTAAAGAACCTCAGGTGGTCGAAATTTTCGGAGCCCTCCACTACGGCGTCTCTCATAATCATATGGTGGTTTTGGGACGTTAAACCCCACATATCATCATCATCATAAACATTTGCAGTTATTTCTTTAGCACAAGAATTTTGGAACTTCTGTTATTATGAGCCTCTAACCCTAAAGTCAAGGATTTTTGTCCCCCACAAAAATAATCCGCTCTTTTTATGCTCTGTCACGTCGATGCTGCCTTCAGAAAAATGACAAAGCAACCAAGCTTACCATGTACCCCTTCATTTGTTTCTTCTTTACCTTTGACTTGTGTGTGCCTGTGACATCTGTATCTTTATTTTTTTACAAAAACATGAAGTGCGGAGAAACGCGCCGCACTTACTTCGAAGACAGAACGACACTGCCTGGATTTCCTAAAAAAAAGGAACAACGCTAAAATAAACATACCGAATCAACTCTTGCCAGTTGATGTTTATAACCAGCAGCGACTGCCGAGAAGAAAAATGTACATAGCCTCGTCACGGACGAGAAGAAATGATTTTAATGCAGAGTTTAATGAAAATATCAAAGGCGCGCTTGTGGCCGTCGCTCGGGCCGCTTTTCAGGGAACAGTCGACCCTCATTGCTTTCGGGGCATGCCTGCTGTTTTTATCAAAAGCATTAGAAAGGCCGTTTTTTAGGAGTTGTTGTTGTAATGTCATTCTAACTTTGTGTTGGTTAGAAATTGTACGGGTTTGAGAAACCTAGAGCCAAACGTTCGTCATATATGGACATTTGTGCTGGAGCCATTCTATCTGCCGCAGATTCCGCCAGTAATAGACAAAATATTGTTATATGCTGTACAGTCGCATTTCAGTTGATGCTTGCTAGTACCTTGCTTGTTCAGAACTTAGCTGTTACAAGTATGCATTATTTACTACATGTCACTTCGATGCACAAGAAGTTAGATGGCAAGTAACTCTTGTTGTCTGTTGAATGAGTAATATTATTTTCGTTGAGTGAGTCTAAAAATGGTTATGAATTTAAAGGGATCAGAGTGCAGCTGATAAATCTAAGCATATTTTGTGTTTTTACCTTAGGGTCTCTTTAATATGGTTTCAGATATGGTTACTAGCAATATTATTAGCTGTGTGTGAAATCGTTTATCTACGTAAATGCTAAATACCTGTGGTGGCAAGAGTCTTCCTCCATTCAAGCGTCCTGTAAATGCTCGGCAAATGTGGTTAAATTGAGTGTAATTTTGATGTCTGACACTTCCACGTGCTATTTCAGCGTGCTCGGCACAAACATTTAATGCTCATTAAACCTTGCGTCTGTTTGTTAGAATAATTCTACCGGCACGGCGTTTTTGCCGAAAGCTTTCTTATGGAAGTTGCCCCGAAGAATGAAGGACGACTGCTTCTGTAGCATAAAACAAAAATAATCGAGGCAATCTCGCTGTGTCTTTACGACGAGAGTGTCTTCGAAAAAAAAAAAAAGACTTGAAATAGATATCTATATTCTGTACACAATGTGTTTTCTTGAAAAAAAAAAAAATGTTAATTGTGACGCAAGCGTTTTCTTTCGTGCTATCTTCGGTGAACATTTAAGAGTGTTGAGTTTTAGATGTTGAAGTTGCAAATTTCATCGGCCGTTGAATCGGCTGGTGAAATTAGCAAATTGTACAGAATTGTTGTGCGAAACTGTTATTCCCCTTACTCTAGGCATGAACGTATTGTTGCTAGTACCTGTAAGCAGATCACACTGCTAGCTTTCTTCTGTGTTATGATTCTTTGTATTTTCTGATTGCACTACTCTGTGATGATTTATAGGGATGATGGCATAGCACTTTCAGATCTTCTGTATCACAGTTTGTCCTACAGTTTCTGACTGCTACTGTGTGGTTTGTTTTCTTCGTTCATAGCCTGTATCCTTTAAACAAAATCCTGGCTGCTCTTTTGATAACTTTATAGATCATGCACTTATTTCAAGTTGTAACACATGCACAATTCTTACTGCAGCACTCTGTTATTAAAGTTTCACTTCCATAATTAGGGAAATGAATTGTCTTCAATTTAGTCTGGCTGTAAGCTTATGTGTAAGAGCACAGCTATGCCAAATTGGGGAACTTTCTAAAAGCTGTGTTCAGTTCTAAAAGATCATATCAAGTTCTTTTTATTTTATTTTATTTTTTTGCATTTGGTATCTCGCCAAACAACACAATTACGTTGACTGCAGTGCGTGGTATTAGTACTAC